GCTCAGAAGTCAGTTTGAACAATCCGGATAAGCGCAAGTAAGTACCATTTTGATTAGCCGCCGTACCTACAATGACTGTGCACTGTGTAAATGTGCAATGAGTGACGTATACGCGCGAACGATCACTTCCGGCGCTTACGTAAACTCGTAAACTACGCCAGAGCGCGTACACACCTCGCACTGGAAGCCGTGCGCATGCTCAAAGCAGTTGGACATAGTGGTGTATTAGAGGTAAAAAAGGATATAAATACTGTTCGGTTTCTGGCACAAACCGATCGTTTCGTGTCTTAGGACATCAATGTGTCGTCACGAGCTGCAGGGTTTAATTTGGATTTGTCTGTGCATGTTTTTTTTACACTCATAGACTTTGTTACCATTGCCATCCATTATACGACTGATAGACTGCAACGGTTGGACTTAAAAATCATCAAATGTGTTTTACTGAAGAAACAAAGTCACCTACATCTTGGATGCCCTGGGGGTAAGCAGATAAACATCAAATTTACATTTTTGGGTGAACTATCCCTTTAAGTATATTAGCTCGTAGTCCGAGCGGCTATCTGTAGCCCACTTATAATCAAACTTGATTCACTGTAGTTTTTGGCCAGACAGCACATGAAGTAAAAAACAAAAACAAACAAAAACTCTCCAAAACAACTTTTCCTCACTAAAGCTCTCATCTTTGACAAAGTCCATCATTTATTTTAATTATTATATTGACTTTATGACTGAACAATGGCTTGTTAGATACAGAGAGAGCATGAGCTAGAAACCTCAAAGACAGTGCCAGAAGGATGCTGGACAGGTAAAGCCTACAAATCTTGAAACATTAATCAAACATTGTGGTGTCAATACTCAGTAAGTAACAACGCAAATCAGAAATGTAAAAAATAATTCCTTTACTAGTCATCTTGAAATGTCAAACTTTATCCGCAATTGTTAACCACCTCAATCTGTATTATATTTTAGGGTTTTAAAAAAATTCCCTCACGTCCAAATTCAACATGAAGGGGGGTGAAGGTATATATGGTGATACACTATATATCTCGTTTTTGTTTTTAGTAGGCATCCAAGCAAAAGAGAATGACTCCCTGTCACAATTAGTGTAATCAAAGTAAAAAAATTATGTCAAGCTTTTCTTGTGCTTTTTCTTTTTCTTTCCTTATTTGGCAGATGCTGTGATGACCAACTTCCCGGCAGCAACAGAATTGGACTTGAGGAATGCAGTTGGGAGGCATTTTAAACAAGAAACAAAACCAATAATTAATAATTTCCTTTAAGTTCGCTGTTGGTTGTTTTATTTGTTAAAATAAGTAAACCAACAAAAGGATTAATCTTTTTTATGTTGTCATTCATGTTTTAATGTTAAGTGTGATAACATGCTCTTGATTTGTATTAGATTTTTTTTCTTTTAAATATCTTATTTAAAATATTTTATTTTTTCGTTTTTATATTTTTATTATCTTAAGTTGTTAAAAACTCCAGATTTTTTATCATAATATTTATATTTAAGTGTATTGTATTTATAAAATATTATTTTGTCATTAATTATATTGCATTTTTTATAATTTTGTATTGTCTTAAGTTGTCCAATTTGTTAAAAATTTTATTTTTCTTAATAAAAGCTGTATATTTAATTTGTTTGGATGGATTGCCATTTTGTTGTCTATTAGATGTATATAATAGCGGTCTATTTGATGACTAGTCTATTCTTGGGCTATGATTTGACATCTATTAGATTTTCACTGACAGCCCAAATTTAGCCTCGTTTTAGCCTAGACTGCAGTTGGGAGGCATTTTAAACAAGAAACAAAACCAATAATTAATAATTTCCTTTAAGTTCGCTGTTGGTTGTTTTATTTGTTAAAATAAGTAAACCAACAAAAGGATTAATCTTTTTTATGTTGTCATTCATGTTTTAATGTTAAGTGTGATAACATGCTCTTGATTTGTATTAGATTTTTTTTCTTTTAAATATCTTATTTAAAATATTTTATTTTTTCGTTTTTATATTTTTATTATCTTAAGTTGTTAAAAACTCCAGATTTTTTATCATAATATTTATATTTAAGTGTATTGTATTTATAAAATATTATTTTGTCATTAATTATATTGCATTTTTTATAATTTTGTATTGTCTTAAGTTGTCCAATTTGTTAAAAATTTTATTTTTCTTAATAAAAGCTGTATATTTAATTTGTTTGGATGGATTGCCATTTTGTTGTCTATTAGATGTATATATGTAGGTATTCATTAGCTGTCTATTTGATGACTAGTCTATCCTTGGGCTATGGTTAGACGTCTATACAATTTTCACTTACAGCCCAAATTCAGCCTTGTTTTAGCCTAGGCCTATATTCAATGTCTATTAGATGTATATATGTAGTTGTTTAATAGCGGTCTAATTGATGACTAGTCTATTCTTGGGCTATGGTTAGACATCTATTAAATTTTCACTGGCCCATATTTAGCTTTGTTTTAGCCTAGACGTCTGGGCTGTGTTTAGACGGCTAATAGACGTCTTTTAAATGCAAAATTGCTTGCTGGGAATGCCCACATATTACTGCAAGAGAAAGAAAGACAGAGAGAGAGATGTTTCTAATTTTGATGTTTCTCAAGAAGACAGTGTTTTCCTCCTGGAATCAGACCCAGACTGCCAGTCACCTGGGTCTTCAGTGTTTTGTTCTTGTATTTTGATGCTGTAGATGTATGTTTAAAAATCTTATACATTAAAATAAAAACAAAATGCCAATGATTTATTTTCATCAGAAATAAAGTTTGGCTGGATAATGTTTGGACCACGACAAAGTACTGTGCTGTGGCGGTTCCATGGTACCATAGTAAATTATTATCATAGTACTTCAATGGAATTTCAGGGGTGAGGAAGAGTCATTTTTAAGGGTTCACTGAAGCTACTTTATAGCTCTACCTTTTTACATACAGCTCACAGATCATAACCAACACATTTGTCTTTGAAAAAAAAGCCTATTACTCATTATCCAAAAATGGGGGAGGGCGGGGGTGAAAGTACCATTCTTAAGAAAAACTTAATTTTAAAAGATAATGTTTTAGAAAGAGATATATTTTTGCTGTGGTCAATAACTCACAAGTGTGGGCTATCAATACCAGGTGGTATTTTGTACAAATGTGGATAATTTTACTTTGAACATAAGTAGCACATTGTTACTTTCGCTCCCGTCAGTTGGGACGAAAGTAATACACAGATGGGTCAAAAGTAACACAACAATACAAGCTAGATTTTTTGTTACTCTTGTTTTTATTAAATACACCTGACTATGACCTTGTTAATATGTAACTGCAAACATATTTTGTCCTTTATCTTTGGAAAAAAACAAAACAAAAATAACGACTTTATTCCACATTTTCGTCTCTACTTGTCACTTGTGGATCGCGTTCACGACAGCACCATGACGTGAGATTGTGGCGGCGCCTGCGCTGACCCAGATCCGGCGTGATGACGTCATTACACCAGATCTGTGTCAGCGCCACCACACGCTCACGTCATGGTGCTGTCGTGAACGCGATCCACAAGTGACAAGTAGAGACGAAAATGTGGAATAAAGTCGTAATTTTAGTTTTCTTTGTGCAAAAAAAGTATTCTCGTAGCTTCGTAACTTTACAGTTGAACTCCTGATGTCACACGGACTACTTTGTCGATCATCTTGGTACTTTTCTGGACCTTGAACGTGGTAGTTACCTTGCTGTCTATGGGAGGGTCCGAGAGTCCTCAGATTTCATCAAAAATATCTTAAATTGTGTTCCGAAGATGAACGAAATTCTTATGGGTTTTGAACAACACGAGGGTGAGTAATTAATGACAGAATTTTCATTTTTTGGGTAAACTAACCCTTTAAGAATCACTTAGGCTACCTCTGGGCGATTCATGATCAGGTAGATCTTGAACCGCACGCTCACGCCAGAAAACTACTAATTGACCAAAATGCTTCGTTTGACTTTTCGGAGATCTGAATTTCTGCCTATTGAATTTTAGAATATTGAATTTGATGTTCTGAATTTCCTCTTCATCTTGAAAACTTGAAGCTGTATTTTTTTTTTTTAACTGGACTTGCTGTCTAAGATTTCAGAACAAAAAAATTGCTGTTTGAAAATACATGTCTATAAAACTCTGCCATGTCAACCATGTCTACTCTGATTGACACAACCAATAAAATCTTTAGAATCAGCTGTGGGGTGGAGTTTCCACTGAACTGGATTGGAAGAAAAAAAATGTGCATGCGTGTCATGTGCCTGTCTGTCATTAGGTGCGTTCGACTTGAACCACGGGCCACAGACGGCAGTCAATGAGAGAAGCCGCTTGCAGTCGGGGGTTGAAAACGGAGCATCAAGCCGACACTTTCTGCTCCCGTTAGTGACGCTCGCGCGGTGTTTGCATACTCTATCACAGATGAAGTGAATTAAATGCAATTATTTGTCAAATATACAGACGTTTCAGAAACGTTTTCATGAGCAACAGATATACTGATTATATACTGCTTAATACATCGCCATCTGTTCAAGAATAAAGTTCGACGTAAATACTATTTATATACTACACTCTAAAAAAATGCTGGGTTAAATACAACCCAGTGCTGGGTAAAATAGGGACAAACCCAGCAAGTGGGGGAATATATGCTTTCATCAGTGTTTTATTATAAACGTGACTCAATATAACATTGCGACTACAGGTAAAAAGCTTTTACTGTTCTAAAAGCACATATTTGTGGCTATTATTGGAATTGAAAAGGTTAGAATAAACCCGAAACACACGTGATAGTTGTCATGCGGTGAATCTGGCCAATCGTGAAATGGCTGTGTGATTCTCGTTTTCCATTTTTTAAACCATTATTCAGAAAGTGAAAGTAAAGTTTAGACTGCTGGAGCTCAAAAAGTGAAAATGGATTCACTATCGGCAGATTATTTTTCTTGTCCTGTGTGCTGTGAAATCTTCAAGGATCCTGTTGTTTTATCATGTAGTCACAGTGTCTGTAAAGAGTGTCTTCAACAGTTTTGGAGAAGCAAGAAAACTCAGGAGTGTCCTGTCTGCTGGAGAAGATCCTCAAGAGATGAACCTCCATGTAACCGTGTGTTAAAAAACTTGTGTGATCTGCTTCTGAAGGAGAGAAATGAGAGGTGTTCATCAGGATCTGAGGAGATCTGCAGTTTACACAGTGAGAAACTCAAACTCTTCTGTCTGGAGGACAAACAGCCTGTGTGTTTAGTGTGCAGAGATTCACAGGAACACGACAATCACAAATTCAGACCCATCAGTGAAGTTGTTGCATCATATAAGGTAGGACATATATCCTTTGTTTAATATGTAATTAACGATAGTCACAAACAGATATCATTACATTCATATGCCCAGTATTTCTGTTTGTCGTTTTGCTCAACTTTATATATCATATGTATCAACTGGAGTATAGGCTATATATATATATATATGTGTGTATGTGTGTGTGTAACATTCCAGGAGGAGCTCAATACAGCACTGAAGTCCTTACAGTGGAGACTTAAATGCAGAGAAAAAATCAAAGGAGAGATTGAGGAAACAGTACAACACAACAAGGTGAGGAAACAGAAACAGGTTTAAACACGTCTATTTATTATTAATGACTATCCACATTTTAGAAAGAGAGAAGCCATCAGATAACACAAATGAAACGATGAGCCCAGCTAAAAAAAATGTTTTTGTTCTAAGAACATTTTCCAAATTTTTCTTAGTTTTCTTAATGTTAGTGGAATGTTTTTAAGGTTAGTATGATTTACCGGAAACATAATTTCAACTAAATTTTTATTAACAACGTAACATTCTAGGAATATTGATTTGTAATTTGATATTGATTTTATGTCCCAAGAACATAAACATATCTAGTTTCCTCAATGTTAAAAGACCATCTTTTAAAGGTTAGTATGATGTTCCTGAAACATTTTTTTAACTTGCTAACCTCTTGTGAACACTATTAAACATAAGATAACTTTATACAAACATTCTATTAACACACTGGATGAACGTTCATTTATAAACTTGGAACAACCTTGCCAGAATTTTAGCCAAAGTTCTAGGAGAATGAGGTAGCAACCAAAAATCTTATATTTTATTTTCTTCAAAGTCGCCACCCTTTGCCTACAACAGCTCTTGATGCATACAACTGCATGATGTTAATTTTTTACCCGACTCACACTTGGAATGGAATTGCATATGTCAACACAGGAGGTTGACACATGCGCTCTAGACAGATTCATCTTTGTCCTGTTTCTGCACTATTTTTCTGCAGAAGGTATGACCAATAAAAAAATATCTTTGTACTCTTTTAAACTAAAGTTGCAGCTGTCTCATAACCCCCTCACACAACCACTTGTCAAAACAGGTGTCTGTTTGTTGTTGCATTCTCCGGTATTTTGTTGTTGTTGTTCCATCTCTTTAGTTTCATTTTCTACTGTGAAACAACAGCCAGGGCTAGTGTTGGCAGCTTGTGGAACAACCGATTAATGTGAAACAAAATCAGTGTGAATGTGCGACCTGCGCATACAAAGTACAGGCAGTTGGATGAATGAATGTGTTGTTGAAGTGTTACAAATGCATTCAAAGCAATTTTAAGAAAAATAAATTCAGCTTGTCAAGACATTTGTTGATGCGTGTTGTATGAGGTGATTACAGTGAATGTGATTTGATTTCAGTCTCAAGCTGAGCACACAGAGCTTCAGATTAAACAGCAGTTTGAGAAGCTTCATCAGTTTCTCAGAGATGAAGAAGAAGCTACAATCACTGCACTGAGGGAGGAAGAGGAGCAGAAGAAGAAGATGATGAAGGAGAAGCTGGAGGAGATCAACAAACACATCTCAGTTCTTTCACACACAATCAAGGACACGGAGGAGATGATGAAAGACAATGACCTCTGCTTTCTGAAGGTCTGATTTCAGATCATGGATTGATTGATTGATTGATTGATTGATTGATTGATTGAGTTGTTGATGATAAATTGTGTGTTTGTTCTGCAGAAGTTTCCAGTCTCGATGGAAAGGTGAGTGATCTGCTGGTGTCTCTGGTCTCTCTGCTTCTGATCCAAAGCCACTGCAGTTCTGACTCCTGAATGTTGTTCCAGAGTCCAGATCTCACAGCCGGATCCACAGACACCTTCTGGAGCTTTGATTCATGTGCCACGTTACTTGGGCAACCTGCCCTTCAGAGTCTGGAAGAAGATGCAGGACATTGTCCAAAACAGTGAGTCTGGAGAAGATCTGTGCTCTTACACATACACTGTAAATGAGAAAATTGAATTTGCTTCAAGGAATATGCAATAAGTATTATATGTGTATTATGTAAGTGACAGTCCATGGCTAGCTGTGCAGTAAATTATTTTAATACACAACATGACAGCAAAGAACCACTCAACATGAAGCTGTGAATTATCCCATTTATACCATAGTCATTTTCCAGCATTGGCAAGTTAAATCTATTATCTTTCTAGCGCAATATTTGACAGGAAGGGTTAGGATGGTTATTTTAATCAGTTACAGCTCGTTAAATCTCTAGTATACTGCCTGCTTTAAATCATACACAAAGATGAAGTATAGTGCAGTAAGCTCACATTTATTTGAAAGTTGTGTGTAGGGCTGTCGCGGTTAGGAAATTTCCCTTGCGGTTATTATGGGTGGCTCAATAGCATGATACGCGGTGTTACCGCGCTTTTTTTATTTTTTATTTTTACAAACCTTATTTATCCTGATTTTACTGCATACAAAGCTCTATTGTTGCGTTATTATGTAGCATATATTGTTGCTTTTTAACTGACAGAGAGACACGTTTTAAAACATTTTTGTTTATTGTTAAATGCCAAACCGCAATAAGAACATGCCTTTTCCAATTTAAAAAACAAAAGATACAAAAAAATTCTAAAGTATCAAATGAAAACAAGCAATAAGGAAATCCTTTTTCCAATTTGAAAAATTAAAGAATTCTAAAGTATCACATGAAAACAAAGTGTTGGCCTAAGTGAAAATACAGAGAATAAACAAAATATTACTTAAGCGTTAACTAATGTGATTTAGACCTGGGTTATCATGTCCTTGTTTCTCGCTAGGAAAACCAATATATTAACCTTTTGTGGTTTCAGGGAGGATCGCACGGGGGTAACAATATTCCCGGCGGCACTGAAAACCCTTTCCGACGGTGTGCTCGTTGCACAAATACACATGCTGAGATAATGAACCGTTAGACTCATATAAGGAGTCATATTGACACTTGACCACATATCAGTTGTGGCAGAAAAGTAGTCGACATTCAAAAGCTCCCTTTTGATCGATGTCTTTACCGTGTTGTACATTTTCGGCACAGCAGTCTCTGAAAAGTAGGTTTTGCCCGGCAACTCGTACTGCTTGTCGAATTTTTGAAGCATCGACTTGAATGCAGGTTTCTCCACCGTATTGAATGGAACCATCTCCTCAACTAGATACTGCGTAACAGCGGCTGTAAGGCATTTATACCTGTTACTTTCACGGTTGTATTTGACAGATTTCGCAAAGGCTTCAGCTACTCCTAACTGTCGGCTGGTACCGGCCTCAGCTGTTCTTTTTGATGTTGCTCTGCGACCTGATGCTTGAGGAGGCAGCTGCGCGTCAATGGCTGGATGACAGTTAGCGAGATGACACCTCAAATTAGATGTATTGCTGCGTGTCACAGGGACCTTTTTGCAGCAAATTTTGCATATCGGTTCATCTAAATTTGCTGGCTCTCCCTTTTCATTGGGTTGAAAGCCGAAATGTTCCCAAACTGGCGACGTGACATTAGGTTTTTGGACGAGAGCGCCTGCCATTGTTTCAGTATTCAAAATCAACGAAACCCCAGATACAAACAGTTCGCGGGAAAATAACAAACCTCTTGTATCATTATTAATTTATTTAACATTCAATGCACAGTGATGAATTGTAAAACCGAAAGAAGGCCACAGCCTTATGAAAAAAAAAAAGTGAACACTGCGGTTGCCGCGGTTTCTGCGGTTGCTTTCCTTCCTCTGCGGTTTGCTTGTCAATAGCGCGGTATTACAATATTGCGGTTATCGCGACAGGCCTAGTTGTGTGTGTGAATTACTAGGGCTGCCCTTGACTAAAGATTTTTCTGGTCGACTAGTAGTCATTCACCTTAAGCGATTAGTCGACTAATCACACGTTGTCATGCAGTACGCACGTTACTATTCAGCTTCCACACTCCGCACAGTCACTTGAATAGTGCACATTTTTCTCGATTAACATTAGATTGAGCAGCCATGTAAAGTTGTTTCTACTTAGATATTTCAGATAAGTCATATTTGAGTGTTTGGATGCCCTGCCCGATGTATTACCACATAGACAAGCCGTTAACGATCTGTCCGTCTCGGACTGTGTGACTTCGCTACTTCCTGTGAATTTGTAATTTTTTTTCTGTGACTAAGCAACTAATAACATTTTGGTCGACCAAGCCTCTTCTCCTCTTCTCAATTAGCTGTCCAGCAGCTATCAATAGTACGTATTCGTCATTTAAAAGGAGAAACCAAAACAAGGATATACGAGATATACGCAGATATGCGAAATGTAAACAAAGCAGTGCTTGTTTACCATTTTAATATCAGTTATGTTAACATTCTTCATTTTAAGCGGCTCATGTTGTTATGAAAATATTCACATATTGGAATTCACATGACATTAGAACAGCCCTCTGTCTGTGCCACCTTCATTTATTTACTAGTTTTCATCACTTTCACTTTAATTCTCGGGCACTGACTCATTCGCTAAACTGAACATCCAATCAGAGTTCTCACTTGCGCCGATGGCCCCGATGCCGATTCAACATGTTGAACACACCAGACATTCAACAAGTATAACCGACCAACAAGAACTGAAAGGACTAGGGCTTTTGAAGGCAGGATAATTGGGGAGAAACGAGACACACCTGGAATCAAATTAACACAATCAACATGAGGAAGAAACTTGGTCACATGGGCAAAAACACACACAATAGTCCATATTCCTGACACCTCCATGCTGAACGTGACTGAATTTGAAAGCAAAAGTAAAAGCATAGGGCAGATATCCGGGAGGAGGCTGGCAGACAGAGACCAGGGGGGCGACGAAGGAGGGAGGACCCAGGAGGGACCCAGAGCAAGAGGAGCACAGCAGGACCCAGGCCACAGCCATGATGTCGACCCACGGTGGAGCCGACGGAGGGAGGAGCCATGGAGGAGGAATGGCCGCCGACTCCAGGGGTCGGCGGAGCAGGTGGTGGAGGAGCCCGAGGCGGAGATGGAGAGCAGATGAGCTAGGGCGACGGGGAGCCTGGCGGAGCTTGTGGACTGCCGGGCCACGACGGAGAGGAGGGAGCTAGGAGCCATGGTGGAGCTGAAGGGTCGAGGCCGAGGCGGAGTCCAGGCCTCGGAGGCTAGAGGCGGAGTCAAGGGAGACGCCAGCCATGGCGATGTTGGAGGATGGCAGTCCCGCGGGGCTCGCACCGCAATGATGGTGGGCTGAGGGCGAGCAGAAGGGCTGCCAGACGACAGCGGTGGAGGAGGCTGGAGCGGGTGGGAG